TAGCCAATGTTTTCTTTGATATCATTGCTTCTACATCATTCCATATTATCAGTGAATTAAGAGCTCAAGTGAAAAGTATCCCATGGTAATGCAAATTGCTGCTAGGTGCAAGCAGTTGAACTTTTCATTGGTACCTGTTAAAGCATGGTGTAGAAATGAAACTTGGGGTTGTCCTAGGCACTGCAGTTGGTCTTTGATTCAAAACACTGAGAGCTCACTCTCAGTGAAGGGACTCCCAGCCTCAGCCTTCTAACAGTTCCTTTTATATTCTCTAACTGAAAGTCTGAACGAATGATTTAATGTTTTCTGCCTGTGCCCAGTGTAGAAACTACTGAACAAACACAAAGGGAATAGCAACATGGGCCTCATCTCAGAGAATATCATAATGTCAAAGTCTTTTGAACTGTGAATTTGTGATGCTAACAGAATTACAACACAAAATTCTTTTGCATAACATAGAGACGCACACAAAGTAACATTACATTAAACAGATGTTCCTATGAATTTTGCAGCCATTACTACAAATTCATCTTTGAAGCATGTAAACGCTAACAGGTTTAAAATTATATATATGAGTGTGGTTTTCTTATGCTTTTTTGTAACATCAAAAAAACTAGAAATGCCCTGTAGTTCTACTATAGAAACCTATTGTTGAATGAACTACGGATTTTTTTTCCTTTTCCCAGCCACATATGTTCACATTCTGACTGTGCAAAATCTTAACTATGACTGCCATGGGCCATTTGTAGACTTATAAGAATTTTGTGCAGATTACAGCAAGCAGTAAGGCTATACTAAGTATTTGAGGAACATTAATGACAACCTCGAGGTGCTAAATCAGAAAATAAACTGAAGAATTTTTGTAAGAGAATAGGCCCCTAATGATCACAATGCAAACCACTGCCAAGTTTCTTTCTCATATAAACTCTATGTCAGAGGTGTTCCAGTATAGAAACAATGGCAGATGCTCCCCATGCATGCATTCAAAATAACACTGAAAATAACATTATGGGCTGAAGGTTGCCTAAAACCCTTGGTCATTTAAGTGGTTTAACAAACTACCCTAAAACTACAGTGATTCCTTATTTTTTACCCCTTACATAAAGAAAAGAAAGCATAAATACGAGTAGGAACATGGGGTAATGAATCATTTATAAATTATCTTGTTAGCAAAGAAAACAAAACATTGCTTTGAAAACAAAATAATCTCCTGCCGCAGACTCCACTATGTTTGATGGGAGCCCTTCAAAAGATCCATGGCTTAATGGAGGCTGTTTGTGTGGGGACTTCGATCTGTACCTGCTGTCCCCTGTCACTCCCGGGGAACTCGGCGGCAGATGTTGCAGCGCTAAGTTGTCTCTGAAGTGGCTCTCCATCCTCATCTCCCCACCACAACAGAGTCAAACTATATTAGATCTCTTTATTTGTGCCCGAGGCATGTTTGGGAGCGCAGCTGTGTCCACCCCCAATCTACCTTTAGTGTTTCAGCCCCCAGGCGGCAAATGGGAGACCAAAACTGTTCTGCCACTCTCAACTACATCTGCTGACAATCCAGCCGCCTCGCTGCAGGCTGCCGAGGACCTGTGCAGATGTCATCAACAACCTGCTAGCTCACACCTGTACCGGCGTCCCCAGCCTCACCATTGCTGGCTGAAAAATGCATGGCTCCAAGGACTGCCGTCCGCAATCAAAGCTCCTTCACTCAGCTGCATGCAGCCTCTGACCAGGCCACCTCAGCATTAGCTGGCAACATGGAAGAGTGGGAGACGGGGGAGGAGGAAGATTTGCTTTGATACTTCACGCTTAAATTTCAATTACTTGATCAAGGAACTGAATTCAGCAGAGAATTCTTCTGCAAGTGGGAACTACCAAATTCCTAGGCAGTAAAAGGAAGAAAATAAAAGAGTTGCTTTGCTGCTGTTTGCCATAAAAGTGTCTCCCAGTTAGGTGCATGCACATGTGTATTTCACTCTACATATGTGTCTGCTTATCATACTGACTTCAACTCACCAGGGGAACAGCATAGGATGTGCAGCCAGCAAATCATGAACTAGGGAGGTGTATTTTTTTTTCTTCCGAGATATAAAATACTGAGACAGGCACAAATAGCATTCCTACAGTACTACAAGTCACACCTTAATGATCATTATTTTGATCTCAATTCATTTGTAGAAATTCCATTCCCCTTTTCAGTAAAGATACTGAAGGTTAGTGAGATACCTCTCTGTTTTTTATAAGCCAAGATGTTGGTCAATGTCATTCTGTCAAATCCAGAGAGGACGGATGCCTGATTTCTTACTGGGCCAAAAATGATTTCCCTGGTAATCCAATTTTCACAAAACCACAGAATTTCCAGTAATTGCCATTCTCATGGCCAGAAATCCTCAGAACAGAGCCTGACTGACAATTGTAGCCTGTTCAGGTAAAGCCAGATCAGGCATCAGTGTTTCTATTTACATTGAATTTACTTGTTAAAGTACTGTATATTTTGCATGAAAAATTACTACTGTTCATTTTTCCATATGACATGAATAACCCATTCAAGCAGTAAACAACATGCAAACATAACAACCAGAACGCTAACATCAGTATCTGATAGCCATACAAAGAGTATGCTTCTGTATGGGAACTGCTGAATCACAGCCTGAACCTCTGATTGATCACCTGAGGCGAGCAATGAGTCAGCCACAGGAGCACAGGTAAAGGCAATTCAGCTGTGCTGCTAGAAGGGGTGGAGCCTGGCTGCACCTCTCCTAGACCCCTTTAAAAGCTGACTGCCAGGGGGGAAGGATCTCTTCTGGAGATCTATTCTGCTGGAGTTTTGTGAGTGAGCCCTGGATATGGGTAAGCATCCTATCTTTTCTGCTTTGGAGTAATAACTATGTAACCAAGCTCTCTAGTATGCCTCGTAACTATAACATCTGTACATTCATTGATTGTACAGCTTCCTATTTCCAGTTCTGTGAGTTGTCATTCTGCAACTTCCAAATGCATGCCCTTGTCCTAGATAAATCCCTAGATAAAACTTTTTCTTATGTGAGAACAGCACCAACCACCAGCCCTATTATCAGGCAGATAACCTAAAGAGTGATTACCTCTCTTTCCATCAGAAGTAGCTCCTTCCCTTTAAAATCTCTAATTCTTATGTTGTCTTCATGGGATATGTTGCAAAAATAGCAGCTCTCACACACTGTTGCTTTAAGGTAACTGAGAATCTGATCTGCCATGCCCATCTGTTGGTGGGGCAGTGTGTTGAGAAGAAGTTTCCATCTCACTTACAGGAAATAGTTTGCTCCTACAGCTCTTCAAATGTGTCACACACGGGAATGCATATCTTTCAATGTACCTTTTTTTACCATTGCATTATTTTTTTCTGTTGTGCCATTCTTTTTATTGCACTGCTTTCTTTCATTAAGGCCATGGAATTACCAGTGTTCAGCAGCTGATGTACCCTGGCTGTAACATGCCCCTTTTTTGCCCACCACAATTGATACACTCGCGCTGCACAAACCTCATCTCCTTGTTGTGGTCGCATCAAAGAGACTCTGTCATACTGTCTTCGTAACAGTGCCCACAGTGCATCAAGTCGACCCTGTGGCAACAGAGCAACAGGACTCTGAGTATGATAAAACAAAATCTCATTTATTTCAGTATATTCAGTTCAGCTTGTGTAAGATGAGTAAGGCACACAAAGTCCTACCTTTAGTACAAAACTGCACTGTACTGAAGACTAAAAAGCTTACCTTAATTGGTGTATACCACTTCTCCTGAATGACTGGTGAGGTAGGCTTTGGTTTAGGTGGTTTTGGATGAAAAGGTTCTTCTGGTTCTTCTGGGAGTTTCACCACAGCATTTTTTGCTTTTTCTAATCGAGCCCCTTCTTCAGTGGATCCTTTGTCCCCCCAGCGAACCTAAAAAAAAAAAAAAAGCCAGAGTTTAGATATAAACACAATGCAGACAAATGACCAGGGAACTATGGCTGAAAAAGTTTAAATTTGGAAGAAACTCTGAATTAACAGGAGAACAGAAAATGTTCACTCCTCCTTTTTGATAACAAGCATCTTACTTAAATGCATATGTGTGATTTTTTTTTTTTTTTTGTTTTTTCCATCTCACAAAGGCAAATAATTAAGAGAAATACTGAAAGAAAATCGTATCATACACCTCACAGACTGCAAAGCAGACAGGAAATCTGATTTATCCTACACCTCTACCTGACACTGATGAAAGCCTCAATTTCAGCCACCCCAGATTTACTAACACAGTGTGCTTCCTGAGAATCCCAGTTTAGATGGAAGGTGTTACTTCAGCACTACTGAACAGAAACTCAGTGGTGCTATTCAGAGACTTTTAAGTAGCTCTCCATACTGGAGAAAATATAGATGAAGCAGTCACCTGCATAAGTAAATGTGTAACATGTAACTAACTGTAAGTATCTATATCACTGCATTAAGAGCACTAAACATACACGGAAGGGGATGTTTGTTGGAAGGGGATGGAAACCTGGAGTATTGCTGCTGATGAGACAAATGCCTATTTCCACTTCTCTAGAAGGTTCTAATTACCAGGCTATATAGAGAAAGTACAGAAAAACATCTTTCCTCCAAGAGAGATGATTTTTGCTATGGTAATCTTATTTCTTACTATAATTGGAAACATGGTGCAGCAATTATTTTTGCTGTATCCTTCAAGCAAACAAGCCTAGGGAAGACTCTCAACTTCTCATCTCGAAAGAGAGTATAAAAGCTATGGTTGGAGCTTAAAAGTTCTTGGTAAAAGTGGCCCCAATTATGTTCAGTGCAAGACTTTCTGTACCCTGCCTCCTCTTTCAAGCTAGAGTATAAGGAGGATGTGATAAACCAAAAGACAGCAAATTAAGTTCTGACAGTAGATCTTGCATAAACGTGATGTTTATGCTGGTGAGTCATGAAATCGCTGACTGAAAAAAGCAAACTATTCTTACAAAACTCCACCTACACACTTTTTTTTTTTTCCCCCAGGGATCTCCTAACTAGATATGCCAGGCATGAAAAGAGATGAATCAAAATAAGAATAATTGAAGAATACTCACCCTTTCCCTCAGGGAAAGAATTAAGAGCATCACTGCAACTGCTTGGTAGGTATACCCCATTTCTATCTTGCTGCTTATCAATTCAAACACTTTAAAAAAGGGCAGAAAAAATAGTGGGATGCAACAAATCTCCCACTGCAAAAGGGCACAAGATTGTTTTGTAAAAAGAAATAAGCTGAGTTTTCTTTCTGCTGCCAGGACAAAGGAAGAAGGCTGCTTCAGGTCTTGCTAGGGACACCATACTGTACTGAGATCACTATTCAATGGGATGAGGGTTGGCAGCAACCTGCTTTCTTTGTCATCCTAAGTTCCATATGCAAAACATGCTGATAAAGAAAGTGAGGGAAATATACAGGCAAGTCATAGTCTGCCCTCTTTCAAACATACAAAATAACCTGGAAGAAAATTTTATCACCATCACAAAGAGTCTGTTAACAATGTAATCTCAGTAGAGAGAATGAGAGCAGCAAAGTACAACAGAGCTTGATTTGGTCCCTAATGCTATATGTCACCTGTGTAAAAAAAAAAAAAAAAAAAAAAAAAAAACCATAATTTCCTAGAAGGGTTATTGTTTTGACCCTTACTGTTATTTTGGACTTTGCCACTTGGCTTGCTTAGTGATATCCACTTTTCACAGGGGAGTCTTGTCTCTACAATAATAGAATTGGCTTTCATGTCCAAGTAGACCCTGCTGAGTCATTAAAATGCATCTGTATCTTTCACTGTGATCAATGGTACTTTTACAATGTTTTTTATGAGGTTGTTAAAATGTATTTTAAACACTGTTAAAGCCATTTAGAGATACATGGTAGATTCCTTACTGATGGCATGACTTTCTCCTTCAGATTTAAATAGCTTCACCAGAAGAAACCAAAATTTGTAGATTCTGACATCACAACTTTGATAGTAAAACCAATTGTCTGTAATGAGTAATATCCAGAAATGATATCTTAAAACTTTGAAGCAATGTCAGAAGACAAATCTAGGAGGAGTGAACATCCTGGCTACGTTATCATGGTCTATCACAGAGGAGCAAAAGTAGTGGGGAAGAAAGGAATGCCCTGGAAGAGAAGAGTAAGCATAGAGAAGTAGGGAAGGACTGCTGAGTGGAAATGTAACAGTTTGTTCTCTACTTTTCTCTGTCTAAGGAAACAGCCCAAAAGTCAAGCTGTCAGGAGAACGGCAAAAGAACAGAATGCAGAGAAGCAAGAAAAAAAACCCACGTAACTGAATTGCCATCTGAACTAAAAACGCTGAAGAAAACGAAATGACTAGACCATTCAATTTTTCATTGGCCACAGAATCCACTGCCCTCTCATTGTCAGGTAAGGAATAACCTCTCTTAGACCTGTTTACTTTCATCATGCTCTAAGACAGTGATAAGTGCAAGGTGCAAACAGCTGGAAACAGGCAGTTAAGCCAGCATTCCCTCAGCCCCATTACTATAGGTTCCATGGAACAGAGGAGGAAGAGCCTCATATTTAAGTGCTGTGACATTTAAGGTGAGGTGACCAGCTGAGTACCCCCAGCTTCCAGAGAAGAATAGACACAGCTTCATAGAATAAGGGGCCTCTCACGAGTCTGTGCAGTTTAATTTGACTTACAACTATACATCTTTATTCCTACTACAGATAAAAATGTTTTTAACTTAATTATTACTTTATCCTCCTTTCTTTGAAAAGAAAACGCCATATATTTGCCATATGATAAGAATGTATTTCTTAATGCTAGAGATATTATTTCTGTTCATTTGAATATATATCAGATTTCTGTTTCACTTGACAAGATCCTCTGTACAAACTGTAATGTTATAAACCCTCAAACCTCTTCCTGGAGGCTCATTATGGCTCCTTTGAAAAAATCCAGGCTTGTTATTCTTTATGTCGGAAAGCACTACACAAAATGGTTTGTTTCTGAAAGCTGAGGCTCTTCTAAATTAGCAGTTCTGAATTGCTAAAGGAAACACGTATAAACAATAGAACTTTAAACTTGCACATTCTTCTGCTGCATTTCAAAAGGACTCAGGCAAAGCCATTTCTTAGGCTGATACACTTATAGTTTGATCAAGACATAACTATATGGCCTAGGTGGGAATTTCAGAGACAGTTTCCTAGATTAAACTTAAAGACAGAAAACTGCTTTGCAAATTCCATAAAGGCTGACTTGACTGTAAAATCTGACATAAGGACGTGCACATTTTCATTCTGTTTTAATTAACATGATGCTATCGTGTCTCTTCAAAGACAGGCACTGTTGTTGCTGTGAGTTCCTTTGGGATCAAGCCTCTCCTTAGCATCACCATTGTCAACGCATTTGGCTGGCCCACAGTTGGAGGACTTATGTTTCACTGTAATTTCTTCCAAAACATTCAGAAAAGGCTCTCACTCTCTCCTTCTCATTAGCTTGATGGAAAGAGCATGTCTTCAAGCAGCTATTTAAAGTTCCAGTCAAATGGAACTACAGAAAGCTGTTCTTTCATAAGCAGGGTCAAAATTATTTGATAGGGTAAAAATGTCATAAGGCTTATGTCATTGGGAAAGAAGCAAACATTATACCATTGTATTTCCAGTACACTTTCAAAGTCTTTTTTTCCACCACTTGCAGCCTCAGAGACCTTGTATTTCAGTGAGTTACCACCCTTATATTGTACAAACCTCCATCCTTTTGATTCCTCCGACTCCTCGTCCACCATAATAGGAAGCATCCACTGTGGGCCATTTCTTGGTAGGTAAGGGTTCTTGTTCCTCTTCCTGTCAATAAATTGAAACACACTTGCTTTTAAAAGATATTTATTTACTTATTTATTTAGTAGGTATCTTTCTAGTATCTTTTATTAGAGTACACAAGAAAATGTTTTCCTATCTTAGATGTGAAGAACCAGATTTTTAGTTTCCTCAAATGTTCACTCATTTCCAAGCAAAATCTGGTCATGTTTGGAAATACTCTTTTAGGAGTTTGTGTGAGAAAAGCATTGGTGGCATCCATTAGGAAAGCCCAAATGGGGAATCCAACTGCGTATTCTACAGATCAGTATACATTTGCCCTGTCTTTTTTTTTTTTTTTTGCATTAATAAAAACAAGCAAAACACATAAAAAAGAAAAGGATCAGTGGTAGCTTCCTCTACTGAAAATGTAATGCTTGCAAAGAGCCAGATTATCAGCCCCACTCACTGGGATTCAGCTGACAGCATTCAGTGGATCTGCAGTAAAGGTTACACAGCCAATCACAGTTTTCTAAGCCAACCAATGTCAAACTTGCTCTTGGCTGCCTCTGTTCAGTGAGGTACCTTATCATGGCCTTCGCTGTCAGAACACACTTGAATATGCTCAAGCAATTAGCTAAGTCAACACCAAGAGGCAAAAATACTGAAGACATCAAAAAAGCCTCTACTATGTTACTGCTGATAAGAGGAAAATAAGTTCCCTTATAAAGGTCTCTCACTGTCTCAAATGCCAAAGCTGTGGGAACACACAGTCTTAAGTCCTATGATGAATCTTTGGATTGTCAGGTAAGGACAACTCAGTCCTCCTGCTTTCAGTGAGGAATGAGAAAATGTTAAATTGTCTTGAGGAAAAGCTACTGAACAGTTACATGGATATGACCTTGAATGACTTAATTCATACTACACTGAGATGACTGAGAAAGAGTAGAAAAGTGGACTTTGGCCACTCTCAGCCTAAGGCTTCTCACAGGGCAGTTCTTTCTTGTTCAGCAGGTATTTACAAAAGAATACAGAAGGAGCCAGATTTGCAGAACACAAATAAGCACAGAGGAATAGTATCATCACCCAGCATGGTGTATGGCGCAGTATTATACTGTACCTCTTTTGGAGGTGGTGGAGGTGGAGGGGGATCTTTGATGACCTAAAAAAGCAGAAAAAAAAAAACAAACAAAAAAACATAAAAAATAAGGAATTGCACTGGCAGCATTAAAAAGCATGCAGAAAATTTTTTAAGAGTGGGCAGTTTCCGTCTGAGTCTCCAACATCTGTTCATAAACTGGCAACCACTACTGCTACATCCCTTGGGTATTGATTATCAAGGCCTTCTGGAAATTAACACCATCCGCCTGATAGAAAATAAAATCAATTGACTGGCAGACACTCTTTGGGCAGACGTGTCTGCCACTTTGCTTCCTGACCGGATAAGACTCAGTCATTCTAAGTAATAGGCAGTGATGAAATCCTATGGAGTTAATTAGCAAGCCTGGGAGGAAAAGCAGCCGTAGGTCTATGTGAGGTCTTGCATAATGTTGGGCCAAGATGCCTGCTTCTTTGTGCCATGCCATGCTGATGGATAATTTCTGGCCCAATGACAAGTGTGAAATGCCTTCTGGTAGCTCAGGCTTCACCTCTCGACGTCTAGATCATTTCCGCAGATCTCACATTTCAGATCTAATAATTGAAGCATGTAGCTCCTTAACTGCTCAGCATAGAGTGCCTGCAAGTGGGAGTTAGGTTTGCAAGGCTTCTTAAAACTGTGACTGGTTAAGGATCACTCAGATGGTAATTCACTTACGTTTATTTTTAAACCTCTACCTACAGTTTCTTGTTGTTCTCTTTCTCACATACGTTCTGTAAATCTCAGGGAGTTTCCTGGTATTGACAGGAAACCACCGAACAGTGAACAGAGGGAAAACAAAGGGAGCAAGTTGCTTAAATGGTAAAGGTGAAAACTGAAGTACAGGCATTCATCCTTCCCCAGGAAAAGCAGGCTAGTCAAGCTAAAAAAGAAGTACTTCCGTGACATCAAGGCATTTTTTTTGTGCTTGAATATCATATAGAAATGATTAAAAAATATGAAACTAAAGGAGTCTATTTTTGCTGTGGAGTAGCCCATCAAAAACTGTCCACAAGGGCAACCATATACTTCACCTTAATTAAAATATGTATTATTTTCTTCAGTCTGCATTATTATAGTGCTTTCTTTGATTCTACCACTGCCTACAGATGATCTGTAATTGCATGGATGGATAGCATCATATATAAAAGAACATTCTTTTACCTGACCAATAATTGAGAGTTTTCCTTTTTAGCTTACATTTCAAGTCATAGTCGCACCAAGAGTTTAATTGCCCAAACAAGCTGTGTACTTTTAGCAGTGATTCAGAAATTCTATCAAATAAGACAAAAAAGTGATGGCCTCTTTGGAAACATGCTTCCATGGTACCTTTGGTTTAGGATACTGACTTGTTTATGATGCTTCCAGTGGATTGGGAAGTCAGTTATGAGTTTTAATAAGACATCCCTTTGCTGTAAGATGTTGCAAAAAGATGCCAAGCAATTGTTTTTCCTTAAGCACTTCTGACTGTTTTTCCCACCAGCCATTGGGAATTCTAAGATTACTTCACAGAAATCAGCTATTTAGTTGGTCAGACATTCCTGAAAGCCAGATTGCAATTATGGTCCTAACTTGAGAGCAAGAAGAACCCAGAGTGATCATAGTCTGATTCTGAGAGATATTTAGGTACTGAGCAAGATTTTCTACAGCATTAAAACAGTAAACAGTAAAATGCTACTTTCAGTGTGCATGTTCACATTCTCTTCTTTATTTAATTGTCATTTTTCTTTCTCTTTTGCCTCTTTCTAACCATTACCCCCAAAACACCAGTTTTCTTGCCGTGACAGCCAGTGTCCAGGACAAAAAGGCCAAGCTAGTTGCAGATAGATATATGTTAAACAGTAGATATATAAATACATGTTAAACTGTATCACCACTTTCTACAGCTGTAAGATTCTTAAGTTCTGCAATCTCTCCTGAGCAAAGACAGCTTCACATAGGAACCTTCTTTGTGGCACATGCTACAGTTCATTTGGGCCCTTCACCCATTGGTTTTGATGGAATCAAAATTTCTTCTCCAATGAATCAATACAAACTCTATTTGTTGACCTCATTGGACTTCAAAAGTCATGAGTCAATGACAGTTTCTGTTTGACTCCCTGAGCAAAGGATTGAATCCTACGGCAGCTGCTACATTCCCTAAAGTTATAGGGTAGACCTGATTTGAAACTAACCAATAAATTAATTAGCTGCTATTTCTAATAGCTTCAGAAAATGAAACTTGTTTTAAATGTGACAGTGGTGTGAGAAAATAATCTGCTTTGAGTAGCAGATACTCACCCTGCTGACAGAAGTGGAATGTAAATGCCTGCATCCTTATGTTTCCACAGGCTCCTCGCACACATTCACACACACACAAAGAATATTCTCAGTCCTGTCTGATATTTCAAGTGAAATGAGTGGAAAGCTATTTCAATAAAAAAGGAAATGCAAAGAACCCATGCAGTTTTGGCAGGAAACAATGCAAATGCAGCATGAAGCTGAAGTTACTGAGTATTGTAATATTGCTAAATTCACTTTCCCTGAACTTGATTCAGATTGGATAAGTAACAAAGACTCTGGATAAGGTTGCTGTCTTGTTACCCACATGTAGAGATGGATTACTTCCTAATTCTGTTTTGTTTTGTTTTATCATCATTGTCACCAGGCAAGTCTGCATCTCTTTTATTTAGTTGCAAAGAAGGAAGACTTGAGCTTGGAGGAAAGCCGATTTCTTCCAAAAAAAAAAAAAAAAAGTTAGTTGCTTCAGGCAACAGTCCCTTTGATCTGCTCATTAACACTTATCAAATGTTCGCGTGATGTGGGCATTAGGAAATGTCAGCACCAGAGCCTGAAGCCAGCTTGATGTGATCATATGTTCTGATATTGAGGGAAGAGTGAAAGAACTGTCAACAGTGAACTGCCTTTAAAAGAAGGGGGGTGGAAGTGGAAGAAAAGGGAAAAACAGAAAGAAGAAAAAGGAGTCCCCCACCTCGATGTGGACTTTATATCAAGGATAAAGCAGAGTGCCCAAACCTCCTGAAGCTCACAACGCTGTCTGCAAGCGATAGAGATTCATGCACTCTGGTCACCCATTCTGTTCTGTCAGTAACACCTTTCCCTTCTCTTTTCCATTTGGTTCTGAAGCACAGAAGAGTTGAGGGCTGCTGCTTTCATCCTTGCTCCTGGTCTTTGTCCATGAAAGCAGACACCCCACTGCACCAGGCTTCAGAGGAAGGGCAGAGGACCTCCTGGCTGCCCTGATGTGCTACTGTCTTCTCAAACACACAGGCACCAAAGCCCAAATGTACTTAATCCAGAAGTGGTAATAACATGTAATGTGAGAGCTTCAGAGGCAGAATAGAAGGAAAAGAAAGGAACCACACACAGGATAATGATCTGAGGAAACAGACATCAAAACAACAATAAATGAACAAGTCAGAATGTGGTAATAGGTTCAGTGTAAGAGTCTGTGGTTTTGGATCTCAGTAATGATTTAGCAAACAATGACCTAAAAAGACCTTTTATTTTTAAGGAAGCAGATAATACCCATGAGAGGTGGGGGGAAACAACAGGGCCTGAACATTTAAAGTGCTATGATTTTATTGCTCCCACAGAAGTTAGGTTGCTTCTTAGTAACAATCTATGAATATATAGCCAAAGGCTTCCCTAGCAATAGCCAATTACATACCAAATACTATATCCAGAGAAGATACTTAAGGTAAGTTACAGTTCCTCAGAGTAAATCTCAGGACCCAACATCTTTAATCATAAGGTGAATTAGAGTTGAGGGACGTCTCCTTACATCTCCTTACTGAAGCTCTTTGTGGAGATGCCCAAGTGAGCTCCACAAAGGAGATGAGACCAGACAGAAGCTTGCCTTAATGTC